GAGGTTATTTGGTGTTGGAGAATAGCTGGTGAACAGTCTTGTCTTTCATAAGTGAATATAATGGTTTGGGTAATGACTCTACACCATGAAGAAAAGCTTAAACTAATTTCCACTTTGCTTAGCAAGGCAGAAAGATATATGCTATATTGGGCTTCCATGAAAGCTATTAGCATTTTAAAAGACTGGCCTTTAAAGTTATAAACTTTAGCTATTTGGAAAATTGGTTTATGTTAGAGAGATTATTTTCTAACTGTACTAGACAACATATTACTCTAGCATTACTAGAGGTCTAATAACATCCTTATAATTGTTTTACAATTTTATTGTGCTTATACTTTTCAATAAAATTGATACAATTTTATTTAAATTCTAGAATAGGCAATTAAGAAAGACTGTCATTTGCTTTGATAATTATTTCTTAAGAAATGCCATGTTAAAATAAAGAAATGTGATTGTTTTGAATTCACAATTATTTTGAGTATTTTCCTTCTGTATGTTACAGGTAATTTAGTTCTTCTTCCTATTTCATAGGCTCCAGAAATCCAGAAGAAGGACAAATGTAGTGATAATAAAACTTAAAACATACACATGCAGTTTTGAGATGGTAACAGTTATTTGTAGATTTTAGACTATGATCCATCCTGCTAGACTGAATACAACATGTTTGCCCTAAAATCTTTTCCAAGCCTACAATATGGTCTCTAGTTTCAAGTGATGACAAAGACAGACTGGTAATCAGAAAGCAGGAAATTCATTTTTGAAAAATCCTTACAGATTCCTTTGAAGTCTGATATAACACTATTTTTTTAAGCACACTGACTGCATACCCCAAGCATTTGTTTTTAGATTATTCTATTTACTCTTTTACTTTCAAATTGTATTTACACAAATATATTTTTCTAAATACATTTAAATATCTAGACAATAAACTTACTATGCACATGCTGCTGAGACTTGTATGGAAGTAGCATGGCTCAAGCTAATGCAAAAAAGACTTGGAAGTTTTGAGTGAATTTGCATAGAAACATAAATTATCCAGGACAGTCAAAGCCATAAATTAGCTGTAGGACATATATAGCTCTCTTGTGGTTCTCAGAAGCACAACAAAATTCTCTTTATTTCACATTTGTCTATTATCACGTTTTCTCCAAGAATCTTCATGACTCTCCTTTTTTACCTACACTATGTTTTTATTTCTGTATTCAGAATGTGCTCACTGGTAGCAGTTGCATTTACGAAGTTAAAAGTATTGGACTGCTTAAGTAAATATTAAACTCAGTTCTTTCCTTCCTCTCTGCCTAGAACACATACAGAGACTAGTAGACACAGAGTTAAGGGTAAAATTAAAAAAAAAAAAACTTTTATTAAAAATTGTTGGATTATTTGGCTGCTTAACCTATATATAACGTATATATAAAATATATATGCAAGAAATAATATATTATACAACATATAGTCTAGATATACATTGCTCTATATATGTACATACTATATATGTACATATACACACACAATAATATATATATATATAAAAGCAAAGGTCTACAAACATTGTTTGAATTAGAGGACAGCATATCTCAATCAACATAATAAAGAAACAATTAATTTAAAATACACCCCTTTTAGCTGGCGTCATTATTGAAAGTTTCAAAAAAGAAAGACTTTAGAAGAGAATGGTTGTCTTCGCATTTTTAAAAAACCCATATAAAACATAAATTCATTTTCCTAAATTAATCTCAGGTTCCTGGATAAATGTCATAATGTCCCTATAGAGTGATAAAGTGTGAGAATCTGGCCCTGAATAACCACTACTAAGTGAATTTCATAAATATTTGAAATAACTGTCCTTCACTGTTGTAAATGGCCATCTTCCTGTTTTGGTCCCCCTCAAGCTCCCCCTCCATTTAAAAATAAAAAATATTGTTGCCAAACTGACAAGTCTTAATTATTATATAAAATTAACTCCCTTTTAAAAAATGTGAATAAAGTAATTAAGTTTATCTAAATATGTACTAACTCCTTGTAAGTAAGCTTCATAAAATTCATTTTAAATATCTTACGCAAATATAAAAGCATAAAGCAGTAATTTCATGACTAATGTTATTGTGTCTCTTCATCTTTTCCAACATTTTTCCATACACACACAACCTGTAATGTAGACAGATGCAAAGTTGATACAAATGAAAATAACATTTTTATCTACATTGTAACTACTGAATGGATATATTTAAATTTTTTAATGATATGGATAAACTGCTTGCTGCTTTACATGCATTTTGCTGCTTTAATTATGTTTATTTAAAAACATGTTTTGGAAATAAAAAGCAATATGAACAATAAAAGTGAGTACACATTTGTTTGGTGCAGGACAGATTATATACTATGATGTAATCACACATTTTACAAAAGTGTGATATTTACCGCATGGAAAAAGACTTGTCCTGCCTGTGACATTTATGAGGATCACTTTACAATCCAGACTTAAGTGAAAGGAAAAGTCAAAGGAAGTTGAACATGTTGTGTTCAAACAGCATTGTCTGAAAAGTCCCAAAGAAAATGAATAACAATTAGAAAAATCAAAGAAATATTGAAAAGATCTAACCCCCAAATAAGAAATTATTTCTAAGATATGACATTTAACAATAAAATATAGAACAAAAACGCTCACAACCAAAAACCCTCTCTTAAAATGAAATGAAAATGTAACTTATTTAAACTGTCCTTATGTTGTGTGGGATATGAACAAAAGAACTCCATTATTTAGTTCCAGATACTTCACAAGACTCTTAGGCTAGGAACTCAGTTCTTATTTAAAATATATTACTTTAAAAATGTGAAAATCTTCTAAAAGTTGTATGTCTCATTATTTATCTAGATGTTTCAACTCAGTTATCTTTCCGCAAAAAAATTTTTAAAAACTTACCAAAGGATTGACTTATTTAGAAACCCAAACCCAATATTTTCTTACATAAAATTATTCCACTGGAACAAAACACTCATGTTTCAAATAGAGAAAACATTAAGAAGAAAATTAAAGAATAACCTCATTAAGGAAAGCCTGAAAACCAGGAAGACCCTACCAATTGCCACAATAAAGTCAAATAGCCGGTCCTCAACAGTGCCTTTAACGGAAATAAAATCAGGCGCATCATGAAATGTCATCATACCTGCGTGCACTTTATACGACTACGGCACACACGCTGCAAAATCTTCACTCTCAGAAATAAAGCACACTTCATTTAACTGCTGTAAAACACTGCTGCAGAGGAGCCCAGTACATTTTTTTCGGGCAACTGATCCAGCTTTCCCCCAGCCCTGTGACCTTTGAACTCCCTTCTGCCCCCCTCCCGGCGCTGCCGCAGTCAGAGCCTCCGAGCTGGGCTCATTTGCATAAGGCTCGGGCAGCCCTCCAGCAGCTGAAACGGAATGCTGGGAAGGAGCCCGGGAACTGCGGTGCCGCCAGGCTACCTGGATCACCGGAGAGCCGGAATACGCGATGGGGAGAGGGCTGGCAGCAGCACATTCCCCCACGTCTATCAGCGGATAAACGATTTGAACGCTTTGTTTTACAGTCCTGTTTTCACTGCCTACCCCTCCCCACCCAAAGAAGCTGCCGGCAGCGGCTGTGGTAACCAAGGGAACCCAAATAGTCAAATACTTCATTTAAATATGTGTGGAAGACCAATTTTAAATTTTCATTAACTTCTCTTGTTTTTGAAACATAGTCCCCCTCCCCCTTTTCATTCAAATACACATTGCACGTATAATCAGGCACATGGGGGTTATTTCTTTTTGTTGTGGTTTAAACAGCACCGTACAGGCATAAATTTGTATTAGTCACTATACAAATATATGAGGTCACTGTAGTAATTCTTTAAAATATTAAATGTGCCCAAGTGCCTTGGAAACTATCACCCTCAATGGTGTCCAAGAAATTACTTGTAAAGAATTCAGGTCCCAGGATACCTTTAAAACAATGCAGCAGTAAAAATGTAGAGCAAAGTTAAAACTATGTATTTAAATCTAAAGATTCAAATAGCAGTAATGCTGTCTGTCTTTGGCCAAGATATTCAGTGTTGTGCTATTATGTACTAGAGATATTTCTTCCCTTGTCTTCCTACACACAGCAATCTATTCGAGACATAAACTTCACTATTGCTCCTAAACCTAAGTAGTAGTTATTTTCTAGATAAAGAGGTCATGCGTGCACATATTTTTATAAATATACATGAAGGCACATATTCTTTATTTCTAAATGGCAAACCAATGGAAATATGCATCATCACATAATTAATCCATTTATCTTTTTAAAATAAGCTAATTTGTTTTTCTCCATATGTGAATGATTAACATCTATGAAATAAAAGGTTTTGTGCAATAATCTTTTCCATTTGTCAAAAGAAATATAAGATGAAAAATAAAAAGCACACAACAAATGAATATAGATGTATATTACTAAAGTATAAAATACATTGTTTTAATAGCATTATTAACATTTCAAAATTTTCTTAATTTTTTTGTTTAAATAATTAAATATTCCAAACCTTCCTCTTGCAGTATACCTAAAGAGATCAATAAATTCTGAATGATACACCATCCAATTTATAAGACACATAAACTATTGCAATGCAAAATTTTTTAACACTGGAAAAATAAATTTGAAGCTTTTCATTTGAGCTATTTATTAGTAGTATTCTCCTTTATATTATTTATGCTTATATAAAAGATTAGAAATTATTGGATGAATTTTTTTCTTACTCATAAATTTTTAAATAGAATAAATAACTTTTCAGTTTAATATACTGATATCAACATTTCTCTGTCACATCTGACTACAAAAACAATTTAACCATGTTGGGTCGATTCAAGTGCATCCTTTATATTACACATTACAAATATCTTGCAAAGTTTTTGTTTAAGGCAAAACACACATCAGCCCATCTTAATTTAAATCCAATCAAACACAAGGACGTGTTGGAGTCATTTATAAAATCACCAACCTGTTCAAATAGCCGTAGTCTTAGTCCTTGCACTCTTTATTCATTAGAATCCAAAATAAATTGATTATCATTTTATAATGTGTCAGCACCACCGAAGGCACAGTTCTTCCTGGTTCAGCGGAATCTTCTTAAATTTCCCAGCCCTGTGTTTTATTGCTGGTACCATATGCTTTATTGTTCAGCGACAAGAGCTTCACTCTGCACAAAGACTCATTACCTACTGCTTGCTGCACGGCATCAGCCTCACTGAGGCTGCCTATATGTGATCACATGGAGTTTTGTCTGAGAAAGCCAGGCATGCCACTGACTTAACTGTGTCTATGGATATTTTTATCAGCTGAGGTCTACCAGGAGGAAGGAATAACAGATTAGGAAGCTGCTCTAAATCATTAATGCAGCACAACTTATGGATATCCCTTCACAAGATTTTTTGGTTATTACAGAAAACGTTTGAGAATACATTCAAAAGAAGTTAACTAGATTTTACTTTAATAAGACACTGAACAATAATTTTTAGGAAGGGTAACTTGCAAAAAGCTATTTCCTACCTAATGCTTTCTGAAAGTACTTTTGTACAAATGTTACTAAAAAGCCTTGTGCTACTGAATGATTTGACAATGTTTTAACCTTTAGATTGCTGGCATTTTTTTTCTTAGAGGTTTTTTTCTAAAAGGATAAGTGCTGTTTCCCTCAAAATCTCAATTAAATTTTAATCACTAAAAGATACTATATGTGAATAAAAATAGATATCCTAATTACTTTTGATAAAGTAGATGAGAGGGTGAGTCTTTTATTGATGTATATAAATGAAGTAGGTGATTAATTTATCTTCTCAAAAGATGACAGATTCCTAGAACAGCTGACTTAAAAGAACAATGAAGATTTCAATTTAAAGATCTAAGGACATATGGTTCATATTAATTCTTAAAATTGCAGCAACTTATTTTAGACAGCTTACCTCAATAAAGAATATAATTTACCTCATCCGATTTCAGTGTTAACAAGTAGTTTCAGAGATGACCACTCAACATTTTCAGGAATTTTCTGCTCCATAGATATTGCGTTAATGTATATACAATGTGTGTGTGTGTGTGTGTGTGTGTGTAGATAGATTATTTTCTAAGAATATTTTTTAAATTACCAAAAATTACTTTTTCAAAACTTGAGTATGGATTATAGCTTTCCAAATAAAAACTGTTTAGTTATCGGAATTTGATGAAAAATATTGATTTATTATCTTTTTATAATCTGTCTAAATTGAATTGTTGCTTGTCACAGTGAAAATCTTGACAAATACATGCAAAGTGCCACAAGGAGCAAAAAAGGAAACGTCAGAAGCACCATAAATGAAAATCAGAAAATAAATTTTCTATATAATTAGATAAACAGCACATTCTAATAGTACATGTAAATAATTCAGTAATTAATCTTAAAAAGTGAATATTTATATATACCTGCTTAAGTCTTCCATTAATAAGAAATTATTTTCTGAAAAAAATTATAACAAGATTTTTTGTGTCAACTGAAATTTTTAGAAATAATTTTAAGCCAAAATAGGCAAGTGTGGTTAAATAGCTCAGGCTTTAAGTACAATGATTTAACATCTTTCTTTATAATATTATTTGTAGGGTTAACATTGATCTAGACTGTTTCACGACATAAATAAATACCTTTTGATGGGTTTTCTTAACATTGAAAGAAATATTCAGATATCTAAATGCCACCATTTTAATGCATTTGTTCCAAAATGCTCATGTTCATTTTTCCCTCTGCACTCAAGAGCTACGCTAAAGCTACAAAACCTTGGGGCATTATAAGAAAAAGGAAAACAAAGGGTTCCTGGCTTATACTATACTTTTAGGTTCTTAAAGATATGTATTTCTAGTCAATATCTTTGATGATGTCATCATGCAAATGCACAAGGAAATAAACAAAAGGCAGCCATTTTTCTCTTACTGCATCACTTCAAAAACAGTGAAATAAAATGGTTGCCAAATGGAAGGAAAGAATCAGCAGAAAACTAAGTTACTTCCAAGTTCTTTTAGGAGGTGAGGGTGGGAGGAAAAGGATGTGAAATTGGGAAAAAACCCACATATATGTGAACTTTGAATGTAGGTATGCAAGGAAATAATTTAACAATAAGAAAGAACTACAAATAAATACAATAAATGCATAAAAAGCTAGCAATTAAAATAAATTATCAGTAAAATGGTTAGTCTCCAATGGAAAGACTATATATGTATATATATACATATATATATATATATAGAGAGAGAGAGAGAGTACAACTTAATATATTACATGTAAGAGCCTATTAAATTTATTAATGTTCAAAAAGATATTTAAAGGTGGATACTAGAGCTAGAAAGATCTAGGAAGAGACAGAACGAATCATGAAACAGTAATAACCTGCCCAGGTCTACTATTGTCTTAGATGACCTTGGTGAGTTATTCCAGCATTTTATGCCTTAGTTTTCAAGTCTGCAACCAGGAACAGAAAAATCTTTGGAAAGCATGTCATGAAAATATACAGCAATGTCTTAATTTCCTAAATTGGCTTTAACCAAGCATTGTCAACTAATATTGATAAAATGAAAAGATATGATATAAAATTCTAATGATGGTTTAAAAATTTTTTTAAATGAATTCTCCTAATAGCACAGACAGATATACTCAGTAGATAGGACTTTTGGAAACAGGAGGTATTTTTTTTCTAATATATGCAGAAAACAACAGAAATAAATTTAGGAAACAATTTGAAATCTCATAAAAGCACCTCAGGATTAAAACAAATTACAAAATATGCCCATCTTTTTGATCAAAATACTAGAATTCTCTGTCAGCGACATGACAAGAAGACTGCCCCAGAGATTTTCACATTACACAATGAACAAATGGTGCCTCTGCTTATATAACAGTTTCATCAGCCAAGAGTTCTTTAAATATGAAACTAACAGAGAAACAAAAGATCGCAGTTTAAGGAAGCAAATTTCATCCAAAATTGAAAGGATATTTTAAATCACTTTGCCATATTAAAAGCTGTGAATTGAAAAAAATATGTCAACTCTTACTATTTATTGACTCATTAGCTTGGTTTTTCTCTAAAGACAAAGAGGCATCATAGAATCATTTTGTTTGCTCTCCTTTCCTACGCAATAATCAAAGCTTATCAAAAGTAATACAAAATGTTTGCTATCCAGGTCATTTAGTTTTTAGGCATAGACTTATGCTAAATGGATGATCCCTTGAACATTCTGCAGCATGAAGGAAGATTCACTGACACCATCACCTGTGTTTCCTGGAACCATATTTATTGGTGTGTGTATACCAGAACCTTCTGTTGTATTTACCCTTGAGCAGGCTGGATTTTCTTACTACATTTCATCCTCCTTCACAAAACATTCAGAGAAGTCAATAATTTGGCCATGTCAAAATCCAGGATTAATTCAATTCAATTCAACTAACATTTATTATGAAGTACCAACCTCGGAAACAGTTGCTAGGGATATAAAAATAACATATACACTGTTCCCAAGAAGATCATAGCCTCTCTAGCTTAAGAAAAAAAAGATAAAAAGAAAAGTGCTGAGCATGTTATAGGAAGGTGGTTAAAACTTTTTAAAAAAAACTTTGAATATTTTTTTAAAAATCATTGAACATTTTTTTAAAAAACATTGAATATTTTGCTGACTGAATATGCATTTTATGTTCAATTAATACAATTTCTTTATTTTCAATATGGTCTCCTAATCAGAAAAATCATTGGTATAATTAAGAATCATTTATCAAATGACAAATTGTAAATTATCATAAATTCTTTTTGGATCTTATAATCTAGAAGAGATAATACTTCTCTCATAATACAATACATTGTGTATATATAAATATTTATAAATATAAATATAATAGCTGCAAATCCTTTGCTATTCTTCCTATCAAGAATATCCAATATCCCTGGCCTTTATTCTTAGCTGATTAAACAATAGAGGATGCAGAAGAGATGTGCTGGAAATTCCAAGGTTAGGTGCTGAGAAACCTTGCAGCTTCCACGTGAGCCCCTTGAGACATTCCCTCTAGGAGCCCTGAGCTGCCATGTAAGAGGATTGACAATCCTGAGGCTGTGATGCTGGAGAAGCCACATATGAGCACTCTGGGAGAAAAGTCAATTCCTAGTTGTAAAATGGTACTTTGAGAAAAGCCCAGAGACAAAGGCAAGTGCTTTACTACCTATAATGAGAGAAACTTTGAGGAGACTTGGCTGACAAGACATTTAGTCATGTGTTGGGAAGTTGAAGGAGAAGAGGGAAAATCTGGTGCTTCCTCTTGGAGCATTCTGAAGCTTGAGGTGAAGAGATTTTTGTGACATATAAGATATTGTGAAGTCACCACGGGATAAGATATGAAGTATGGTCAAAGTCATGAGGAAAGAAGACAGCTTTGACAGTTGAGCTGCAAGCTTGGTGGGGCACTGGGGCAGCACCAGGGGACCTGATGAAGAGGAGATGGATAGAAGGATGAGGGCCTGAACTAAAGGTAGTGATCCAGGAAAGAGGAGAAAGACATCTGTCAAAAAGAAAGATGGAATATTTAACACTGGTCGGATAAATCAGTCTCTGATCTAATCTATAGCTTTGAAAGTCAATGGTTCAATGATTCAGCTACCAATTAGATCTAGAAGTAGAGAGCATTAGTTAAACTAGTTTTATAAGACGGATGTGGTAATTTCACAGGTATTTTGATTTGTATTGGCCTAGGCTTGTCAACTTCCAAATATTGTGAAAAATTGTTTATATCAAATATTGTTTACGTTATGTTTATGGGACTGAGAGTAACTATAAAACAACAGAACCTTCTTTAAATAAAGTACATAGAAGTATATATTTTTTCATGTGTCTGATTCCTAAGTTAGAAAAAAAAAATGAAGGGAAAAGACAAATATGTCCTAGTTATGCAAAGCTATAAAACAGCTAATTTTGGATAATGCAAACCAAGACTTACAAACACACACACGTGCACGCACGCACCACCACCACTACCACCATTACCGCCACTACCATTACCTATCAAAGGAAAGACACCTAGTGGCATTTTATCCTCTTGATTTTTCATTCTATTTGGATAGTAGACTACCAAAGCAGCAGATGTTAAGTTAAGCATCCAGTGAATGGCCACTCAGAATGATGCAGGTTAAGTGGTAGGAATAGCTCTATAATTGCTGCTACTGCATCTGCAATATGTCCATAATAAATCA